GAGAGAGAGAGAGAGAGAGAGAGAGAGAGAGGGGGAATATGGATAGATCCTGCTATTTTGTTTAACAACTGCCTACCTACCTACTTTACCTCCCTTCAAAACAAGAGAGAGAGGAAAAGATCTGGTATTTTGTGTTAATATTCAGACTGGATACTAGAGAACATATGGCTTCCTTGATCCCAAATGTCCTCTCTGCGTACCCGAAAACTGGTGCTTCTTACCCATCATTATTGTCCTAGGATACAAATTATGTGTGCCTCTTATTTACTAAATACTTATTGACAGAAAAACTGCTTGTGAATGTGCTAAGGCAACATATCATATATTAGAGCTTGATGTTTACAATAGCCGTACAGATATATAGATATATCTGTATATATATATATACAGATATGTATATACATATATACTATATATATGTAGATATATAGTTCAATGGTAGAGTGCTTGCCTAGCAAGCACAAGGCCTTGAGTTCATCCCCAACACTACAAGAAACAAATTGCAAATATGCAGGTAATCTCCTGCCCATTTAGAAAACTTGTTATCACACAGTAAATTTTTGTTGGTAGTTACAGTATCTTTCTGAAGGATTAAATTGTGCAGCATTGCTAGGATTGGCGATGCACTCCTGTAATTCAAGCTATTTGGAATGCTGAGGCAGAAGATCACAAGTTTGAGGCTGGCTTGGGCAACGTAGCAAGACTGTCTTAAAATGGACTGGGGATGTAGCTCAATTACCATACTCAATTACCATACAGCTTGCCTAGTATGAGACTATGGGTTCAATCCTCAGTACTTGAAAAAAAATGTGCAGAATTACCTAGCATTAACTAAATAGTTAGAACTAGTATGTTGGTTACTGTGGATAAATGAAGAACAATGCATGTTCATGAACACGATATCTGAAATAGACCACAGTCAGTACTAACACCGAGCATTTATTACATGTTTAAATTAACTGTGTTGTACAAATGGTACCCAACACAAAACTTTTTTTAAATTAGTTAAGACTTTTGTTTAAAGTTTTAAGTTTGCATTTTGACTTTTTTTAAAGGATGTATGTTGTGTGTTTAACCTTTATTAACTAACGTTAAAAACTGTGATGTGTGCGTAGATATTATGTATGCATGTTCATGTTTAAAGGATGGCTGTTGATGATAAAATAAAAACCAGCTTTCATTTTTCTAAGTGTGGTTTGGTTTACTGATGTTTTGTTTTTAGGCTGGTGAAGTTTTCCCCATGTATAGTTTTATGGAATGCATATATACACCCTAGAGAGGAAGGTTTTGTTTTGGTTTTGGTACTGAGATTGAACCCAAGAGCACTTAAACACTGAGCCACATCCCCAACCCATTTTTTTGAGACAAGGTCTTACTAAGTTGTCTAGGGCCTGGGTAATAAATTACTAAGGCTGGCCTTGAACTTGCAATCCTGCCTGCCTCAGCAGAGTTACTGGGATTACAGGTATGCACCACCATACCTGATGTGAGAGGAAGATGTTAGGATTATTTCATTTTATCAATAAGGACATGAGATTTAATCCAAGCCAGGGAGGGAGGCCAGACACTGGCTAAAGTACTTTCACCTTTTCAGACAGCAGAGAAAAGACAGGTGTTGTGTGTGACATGGAAATCAATATTAGAGATCATTTGTTTCAGTTCTCATTTTATTGGTGAGGAAAACAGAGCACCTAAGAAGTGACAGGACTGGGGTCTCCTGATTTAACACAGACATTCCCATTATATCTTCCATGGTCTATCTTATTCTAAAGATTTTAAAGTATGTTCTGTAAGGGATTACTTAATAAGAATTTCTGGAATTGCCATTACTGCAACCTCAAACAGAGCTGGAATAGCATACTAATTCAAAAGACCTAAATTTGAGCACAAATGCCAATTGTTCTTAGGACAAGTATAATATGTAAAACAATCTTTTATTAGCCCCAAATATCTTTTATTTTTATTTTTTAAATCCAGTGTTGCAGATTGAACTCAGGGAACTCTACTACTGAACTATATCCCCATCCCCACTTTTGAGACAGGATCTTGTTTAAGTCACCCAGAATGCCCTTGAACTTGGGATCCCCCTGCCTCTCAAATCACTGGGATTACAGGTATACAACACATACCTGGCTAGTCAAGAACACTTTTTAATCCAAATCTTTTAAAGTGAGAAAATGACCAGTTACATGTCACTGATTCACATTGAGGGATGCAGAAATGGGACAATGAATAATCGTAAGTAGAGCTGGTAAATGATGCAATGCCTTACTTCACTATGGTGAGGAGAGAGGCATGAGGGCTTGCCTATGAGGTAAGAGGCGGCCAGCTAAAGAGTGATAAAATTTACCTACATCAGAATGGGGCTACACCTCTCCCCAAAAGGCAGGGCAGACCCTGCCAACTAATCCTGGCCCTCTTTCCTGACGAGTCTGTGCCCAGCCCCATGATTATCCATTCAAATGGCAGATGCTAGAGATGAGATGTGACAGGTGAGAAGATTCCTACTTGCTATCTTTGGGCTATCTGAACAGCAATATTAGACCCGAAGCTGAAGCCATCTGGCAGCAGGGATGACTCCTTTTATCTCACAGCAGCACCATGCTCCTAGTACTTGAGGTCTTCAAATAACCTGCTCTGGTAACCAGGGGAGGGATGAGAAAATTCTGTAGAGGAATAGTAAATGTTTTTGTCCGAGGACCACAACAATTCAATTCTACTGCTATAATGCTAAAGTAGCCAAAAATAATATATGAACAAAAAGTGAGGCAATGTTTCAATAAAATTTTATTTGTGAACACTGGAATTTGAATTTCATATACTTTTATCATGCTACAAAATATTTTTTCAACCTTTTAAAAAACCATTTGTTATTCTCTTTTCCAACCTTTTTTTAAAGCCATTCTCAGTTCACAGGCTATACAAAAATGGATGGTGGGTGAACAGGCCCACAGACCAGTTTTTGCTGACCCCAGGGCTAGTTAAGGGATTTTTCCCACTTATTCTTCCACATGCAGATTGTGAACTATATTACCAAACAGACCACAGCAGTATCACTACCTCTATTTCAATCATTATTTATTTGTATCCATTCACGCTATTCAAGCATTCTCTTGGCACCTATTCAAATTTGGGTACTGTGCAAGTTCCTTCTTTGGGTCACTGAAGGACAATTAAGACGTGGCTCTTCTCTCCAGACATTATGCTTCTCCTAGTATCAGAAAAGACACCCCAAAGTGCAGTTATATTTCAGAGGTGTTCTATGAGATACTTGTATTAAGTTCTTAGGCAATAGTAACAAATTACCATATACTGGGTGGCTTCACAGTCTTAGAGATCAGAAGTCTGAAATCAAAACATCAGCAAGGTCGGAAACTTCTGGAGGCTCTCAGGGAGACCCTGTTCACGACTCTCCTAGTTTCTGTGGCTCCAGCAATTCTTGAGTTCCTTGGTTTGTAGATACACTGCTCACCTCTGCCTCCATCCTTCCATGGCTAGCTTCTGCTTTGTGTGTGTTTCCCGTTCTTTTCTCTTCTAAGAACTTGTCATTGGATTTGGGGCCAATATTAATCCAAGATGATGTCATCTCTAAGTTCTTATTTTCATTTGCAAATACCCTTTTTCCAAATGGAGTAATATTTATAGATTCTAGAGAGATGTATTGGGGGGGCGGTGTTACTATTCAACCCATTACAATATTCTTAGAAGATGCCTAGAAAGATGCCAATATTATCCAAAAAGTTTCATGAAGGAGGTAACATACACTGATCCTTGAAAGAGAGTTGGTATTGGTCAGATACAAAAGGAGGAGAAAGAGGAAACCAGGTTCAGGTTCCAGACAGATCAGAATTATGGACGTATGTGGAGTGATCTGTGAACAGCAAGGAGGTGAGCGCGGCTGCAGAACTGGGTGTGAAGTGGGAGAGTATCGGGCAGGAGGCCAGATAAGTCAGCAGGAATTTGGTCAGGAAGGGCTGTGTGTGCCATGATCTGGTGGATGAATCCAGAAGGTTTTGTGGGAACTGCGGTGATGTTCTTCCATGGTTACCCATTTTAACTGTATTACGTACCTCAGATACTCTTCATTACACTACTGCCACATTAGATTAGACAACCTTCAAGCAGCTTCTCCCAACCAAGAGATTCAGATTGCATGATTTAGGTTTTATGACCCTTAAACTAAAAAACATGTTAGTTTTCTACCACCACTGAGATCATGGCCTTTAATTTCCTCCTGGGAAGTCCCTCTTTTATTCACTCTTCTCCCAGTGTTAAGGGCCACTCTTCCTTCCACACCCCATGCTTCATGATGCTGCCCTTGCACTCCTGAAACCGAGAATCAAGCAAGCGTGCATTTCCTTCTATCACTATGTCCATGAAGAATAAATCAAGAAGAGAAGGCAAGTTAATGACAAGATCCTGGGCTTATATACATAGCAGTTTTAAAAGCGATTAAAATGATGTACATAGACAATACTAGAGACCCAATTGTCTATACCCTAACAGAAGGAAAAATTATGCAATGTATATATGCATTCCATAAAACTATACATGGGGAAAACTTCACCAGCCTAAAAACAAAACATCAGTAAACCAAACCACACTTAGAAAAATGAAAGCTGATTTTTATTTTATCATCAACAGCCATCCTTTAAACATGAACATGCATACGTAATATCTACGCACACATCACAGTTTTTAACGTTAGTTAATAAAGGTTAAACACACAACATACATCCTTTAAAAAAAGTCAAAATGCAAACTTAAAACTTTAAACAAAAGTCTTAACTAATTTAAAAAAAGTTTTGTGTTGGGTACCATTTTTACAGCACAGTTAATTTAAACATTTTCATTTTGGCTGCACATGAAAAAAGCGGCAGTAGAAAATAAAGTCATTGAAGTTTTTTAAATAGCAGAGTAGGCAGTTTTGCCATGCAGGAGAAGCAATATTAAATATTAGTTTTCAAAAAAAAAATCCACATTTAAAAATATTTAGTTCAAGTCACAGAATTTTTCTCAGTAGAGAACCCAATGCAATGCATAATTAGCTGCCTTAGATGGCCTGTTTGAAAGGACAACGTCCCCTCAGAGTATAACTTTACTGATTTTGGCACAGAAAAGAAGTCTTAAGAACAAGAACATGATTAAAAAAGAGGGAAGAGGAACCGAGGAAAGAAATAAAAGCAAGAATAAATGAGATAGTAATTGCAATCACTAAAAAACTGCATTCTCAGTCATTGCAGAATACTGTCTTCTGTCTACAGCAGGTGCTTACTCCAGAACAGTTATTGCAGCATGGATTTAATTTGCTTGGAGGTAGTCTCATCATTCAAATGTTTTGTTGTGTACCTAAAAGAAAACCTTGATCAATTAGGGAACTAAACAAAATCCACATCCAGTTCTATGATTACAACAAAATGAGCAATTGGTCAGGTACATCTCTCACAAGATTATTTAGGCATTCTCATTGCAGCTACCCAGTTTTGGTTGTTCACCACCTAACAGAACAGCCAATCGATGTTTCACTTAATTACAACTACCTTGCTGAAATGATTGGTTCAACTCACAAGCACACAACTGGCAACCTTTCTCTCAGAGGAAAGTTAATGGTTCTATTATAATGGCTGGTAAATTAGGGCCCAAGTCTAATCCACTACCTATTTGTGAATGACCTGTGAGCCATGCATATTTATATTTTTTTATACTCTGGATGGCTAGGGGTGGAGAAGCAGATCAAAAGAATAGTAATATTTGATGTTAACATTGAAATTAAAATTTCAGTGTTAACATAAAAAAGTTGTACTGGAATATACTGAGTTGATTAATTTATGTTATTATCTCTGGTTACTTTATTGCCACAATGGCAGAGCTGAATAGCTGTGACAGAAACCATGTGGCCCAGAAAGCCTGAACTACTTACCTCCTCTCTGGTCCCTTACAGTTCTTTTCTATTCTGTACTAAAATAGCTCAAAGACTATAGCTCACATCCCTAAAAATGTCTCAATTCTCTTTAAGTACCTTATTTCCATGCAGATACATTCCACTTGAGCATGCAAATCCAAACTAAGAATCCCCCAACTAAATGGTGAATGAAGATTCACCACAGGAATCCTAAGGATTCCTGCTACTTAGGATCAAGACAGATGCCCAAGGCTTGATTGGATTAGTGACAATGAAGACAGATATGCAATATGAGTTATATTTTGGAGATAATTCATACAAATTAATTTGGTTTAAAAGAATTTCATATATAATCTTTCTAAGGATTAGATCATTTTAAGCAAGTTCACAAAGATGATCCTTCTCTGTTAAAGGAATTTAAAGTCAACTGTGAGGTTTATTTCAAATAAATTAAAAAATTAAAGTATTAATTTTTGAATACTTTACTCACAGAGATCTTTGGAGAGGCAAAGAGACAGACACATGCTTAATAAATATCTAACATTAAGTATTCTTTATGATGTCACTGAGAAATGACTCCTAACCTGTTCTTTTTTTATAGAATAAACACCAGAGTAACTGGTACATAACAGAGGTTCTATCAATATTTGTGGTAGAAAGAAAAGGTAGGTTGCCAAGCTAGCAAGAAAAACCTATAGAGGAATATTTATATTAAATGGGTAGTAATTTCATATATGGCAAAGACTTAGCCCTTCTATTCCATGTATGCAGATAAAGTATATAAAGCTACACATGATCCTCCTGATGTCAGTAAACAAAGTTCTGATATTCAACTCTTCTGTTTTTTTTTCTATTTCTCCTATGTTGGAAAAAAACAAGCAATGTACACAATAAATCTATTGCAGAAGCATTAGAAATATTTCTATGCAATACGTTGTGACTTTAAAAAAAATTTTTTTTTTTTTTGGTTCTAGATGGACACAATAACTTTATTTAATTTTTATGTGGTGCCAAGGGGTGAACCCAGGGCCTCACACATGCTAGGCAAGGGCTCTACCACTGAGCTACAACCCCAACCCCATGTTGTGACACTTAAAAGAACTCGAGTGTTTTCCTCTATCTACCATAACACAAATCTCTCTTCTGTAGATGTGACCCTGGCTTCTAGCCATTCTCAGCTGTCCCTGGACAGAGTCAGTCCAGAGACATACTACATCACTATTTTATTAAGAAAAAGCCAATAATAACAAATGTATATGAAAATAACGTTATGAAGAGTCTGTTGTTCTTTCCCTTTGTGCATAAAAACAAAGTCCTTTTACAAGTATGTATGACTTTTCTTCTGAAGAAACAACTATTATTTACTTTTACTCTTAAATTTAATAAGCCACTCATCTGCTACTCAACCTCTCATGACTAAGATATTTGCTTCCATTTCTCCACAGGTAAAATGTACACATGACCTGTTACTTTCTCTAAATAGGAATACGGCAAGCTGTAGATACTATATAATTACTGTAGAACAGCCCTCAAAATATACACATGGACACAGATGCAATTATACTTCCATTTAAAATCTTCTGGTCATTAATTCTTTAAAGGAAAATTCTAGTTTATAGGGCTCTAAATAACACTTGCATAATATATTTTTGGGGTTCTAAAATACTTCCTTAACATTATCTCATTTGCTGAGTGTAGCATATTGTAGGCTGGATCAAGTTAGTTTAAGCAATGTTTCTCAAAATATCAGCCAGGGTGTTTGTTTAAAATGAAGTGCCTGAGTCCAATTCAGACCTAATGAAAGAGATTTCTGAAGGTGGTGACTTGGGAATCTGCATTTTTCGCAATTGTCAAAGTGATCATACTAAAGTTCAACACATGATAAACCCAAGACTTAATGGGACAGCATAAAGTATTTGGAATATCAAGAATGAAATCCTGAATTTGAAAACAGGTTCCAACATTTACTAACTGTACAATCTCTGGTTCTTCAGAACTCAGGGTAATTTTGAGCTCATATAATGGAGATACTGTCAATATTGATACCCACCCCTATCTAAGTGAGCTGCAAAAAATACTCTTATACATTTTTTATGAAATTTCACTATCAATTTATGTTGCTATGAAATGGTACTAACCATAACCACTACTACAAAGCGTCCAAGTATAATGACTAAGCTTACATAACTTCCCAGGTGAAAAAGAAACAACATACAGAATACACTAAGAACCAAAGAGTTCAAGAATTTTCTTTATCACAAAATTCTATTTTCTAATTTCCATTATATATTTGGAAAGAAAGCTTAACAAAGCTGATAGGTGCCTTCTGCCTCCAAGGAGGCTAACTCCTCCTCCTCCCCTCCTCCTTCACTCCATCCTTCCCTTAACAACATTGCTCTCCTTTGTCCTAACTCTAAGGAAAATGGGACCAAATTACCCTTAAAAATCTAAATAATACTAGATTCTAGGTTTCTAACCTAATATTTGAAGCATACTTCCTTCAAGGTGACAAAATAACCAAACCTCCTAGATCTCAATTTCCTGTTTTAACAGAAGACTTCCTTCTCTTGCTGCTTCAGAGTCAGACCCATCAGAAAAAAAAAAAAGCACATGGGGGAACCAGGATGAGACAACAGGAGTATCCAGAAAGGAACCAAGAACGAAAAGAAAAACACCGGATTGGTAAAAACCAATGAAATATGTGCTATAAAAACCTCAGACAAAATTCTAAACATTAGGCTTATGGTTAAAATAGCTTTACATTATAAAAAGTTTAAAACTAAGCTCCTAATCCTTCTTACGTTCATTTAGAATAGATCTTCTTTATTCAGGCAGTCTTTGCTTCTACAGCACTTCCCATCATCTTAATAAAAGCAGTCAAAGCTTCTACTCAGCTGAAATGGCAGAATCCATACTATTCACATTTGAAACATTTTTTCTAACCTATTTCTTCTATACATATGTTTGTGTACATACACACCTGAGAGCATTTAGAAGACCTTCTACACTATTAGGAGGTTGGTCCTTAAGAACTTTGATACAGCCTTTCATCTAAGGAAAAAAAAAAACAAACAGAAAAACCAAAATACGTTTTTTTATCTAACATTTATTTTCAAAGCAATAAAACAAAATAAATCAGGACCACAAATAATTTAGAACTTGAGAGATTACATTCTAGAAAAAGCAAATTATTCATTCTTTTTATTTAACATTTATTTTTTAGTTGGGCACAATATCTTTATTTATTTATTTTTATGAGCACTGAGGATCGAACCCAGGGCCTGCACATGCTAGTAGGCAAGCGCTCTACCGCTGAGCCACAACCCTAGCCCGAAAATCATTCATTCTTAGAAGAAGAAACACACACACACATACACACACACAAACACCTATACTAAGTGTTATTTTCGGTTTGTCAGTAAGACTTAACTTTTTGAGAACCAAATCAGTCAAACTACAAGTACCACCCACGCTAAGGAAAAGTGAACTGTTTGCTAAGGGAAGACTTCCTGGAAAAGATGTTAAGTAGCAACTTAAAGGACAGAATTGAAATACTAGCAAGGAAAAGAGGCACTTTTGAGGCCTCACAGCATGCAGATGGCAGCCAGGAATTTTGCAGGTCTTGCAGGACTGAGAGGGGAGTCATAGAGACCATGCAGAACTGACAAGGCCAGGCACAGGGACTCCCTATAACTGTTAAAAAGGGGAACAGCTCAAAGAAGGTGGCCCTTAAGAAGATTAGCCTGGTTAATGTGAAAAAGAACTTGGGAAACCAGAGAATGCAGGTTTAAACACCTCACTCTACCATTCATTAACAATTCTATTACTTCATTTCCTTATCTTTAGTTGCACTAGTAGTGAACAGGAGATAACACCTATATCCTAAAGGGATTGTTACAGTGACACAGGAAAACAAATGCAAAATTCCTGGGACATGGTAACACACAGTGTGAACTTATACTAGTCAGAATTTGACAAACGAAATGTGAGAGGGTGACAAAATAAATTTTATATAATTACTTATAAATAATAAGTAATTGTTTTCTCTAATAAAATAGAGAAACCAGAGAAAGACTTTTTTTTCTAATATAAACTTTTACATAGACAATGAAAGTAGAATTCTGGCTATAATCACAAATTATTATGAATGGAAAGGGGAGAGAAAATAAGTAAACTCTTTCACTTATTTCTTGGAGTCAACACTGCTGACTTCTAGTATATACTTTGAAAAGAAACATTTTCTTTGAAGTGGTCTTTGGCCAAAGGAACTGAAGGACATAATTTGAAAATTTTGCTTATTTGATTATCTATTTATATTGCCAAATATGTAGAAGGACCCTATGGAGACATTCTACAGACAATACATTCTCCTTCAATCACTAAATTCCACTTGTAAATAAGCTACCAGAAATATGGCAAAAGCAGAAAACCCATCATTATCACAGACTATAATTAGGTTCTATAAGAGTCCATTGCCAGCTTTTTAAATAAAAGCCTGAGGTTTTCATGTAAGAAATTGTTTGGAATTGTATAAAACAATGTGTAACTTACATCAATTTTGGAAGTTTTGGCAAATGCTCCCACTGGATGTACATGGTCATAGAGTATTATGACACCCACCATTACCCGCAAGCAGAATGACACTGTCTCTTCATTTGTAAATCTGCTTCTATACTCCCTGGAGGGCAGAAAAGATGAGGCACATCACAAAACTCTTAGCTGACTTCACTTTCAGTTGATACTGACTTCTCCCTTTATTCTCTAACAGGGTTGTTAACATTAAGCCCTTTTCTCCACAATGAGGTCCCCAGAGAGAAGAAAGTGATGGAATAGTCACATTTTCTAGTTTCCATGTGCACCTACCTTAGTATATTAACCCTTCTGCTTGACAGGCAGTGATAATTTTAGAGTAATCAAAAGTAGCCTCTGAATAACAGTTTGGGGATGGATATTACACAATAACTACTGCCAATAATATGATGAAAAGTCACCAGCTTAACAAAGCAAGTTGGTTTGCTATTTTAGAACCCAGCTTGATCTAAATGTATTATCATAACACTGGGTTTGAACTTTACTAAAATTTAACAATATTCTTCTCTCATTTGGGAAAAAAAAATGAATATCTTTATGGTAGGCAGTATGGCATAGCAGAGAGCATCCAGGTCCAGCCCAGGGATAGCTAGACATGTGTGGGTTGGCCATCATGCATGAAGTCCTTCATTTCCCAGGACCTTGTTCCCTGATGTGAGGAGGAGGAGGAAGAGGAAAGTTGTCTTCCTGCTTCATGAGGTTTTCCAATGAGGTAGAGAATAGTATTTTTTAAAAAGTACTACCAAAACAAAAAAAATTACCTAATAAAAAACATATTATTCAAAAATCCAAGAGGGATTCTTTCTGCTTGTTGACAGGAAAAAATTCTCAGAAAAGAATTCAGGTTCAAGTGTAAAGAACTAATAGGAGAGAAAGGGATAAAAAGCCCTCTGGCAAAAAGGCAAGGTTCTTTCTAAACAGAAATAAACAGTTTTTATAACAGGTGTAACTAGAGCTTTTCCCTTACTCCCTCCCCTGCCCAAAAGACCACCACACAATTCCTGCTCCTAAGAGACCAGTTAATTAGTCTTCCTAGTGTGGGGCATCTGGCAACCATGCATATTTAAGTATGTTCTGAAATACTAATCATTTCAACAGTATTGTCAGAGTGAAAAGGTCAGCTAAAATACTCACGGAGTTTCCAGCATGACTCTACATACACTAGCCATGGTGCTTAAACAGTCTGTGGTATTTTCTATTGGTAAATTTTTATTCTGTAAGTGTGAGAACAAGAAAAGTGACAAAGTTATTTAACAATAACTTAAAACTTAGCATAATATGAAAAATTAGCAACTTTATTATTTAGCTCCTACTCCGAACTTTCTAAATAATGCCCTAGATTCTAAGCACTGGCACTGTTCTACCAAACTTGAAATACAGCTGTCCCCAAGAGTGCTTACATGCTAGCTGAGGGAGAAAAAGAGTGGCCATGCAGATACGGGCTGGAGGCTCAAATAGTATTTGAATTTTATCCTAAGGGTATTAGTAAGTCACATTTTAAGCTAAGAATGGAATAGTTTGTTTCAAGATTTTCTGCTGCTATACAGGGGAAGGACTACAGTGGGGCTAAAAGTGAAAAACTGAAGAGCAACTGCAGCTTGGATGCAGTGATCCAGGTGACAGGGTGGTGGTTTGATCTGAGTAGGTAGCAATAACATGGATTAGATTTTCAGATTCACAATATATTTTTGAGGACAAGTCAAAATGACTGGTTGATAAGATAGATGTGGGGACTGAGGTAAAGAAAGGAATTTAAAATGATAACCCCAAAAGTTTTGTTTGTACAGTGGTACTATTAATTGAGAAAGGCAAGAATGGAAAAGGACAGGGTTGAAAAAGACAACCAATAGTACAATTAGGCCATGTAATCACTGTGGTATCTACTGTACCTCAGTGAGAGACTGCCCACAGGTGGGCAGACCTGTGTGTGTGGATCTCAGGAAAAGGTCAGGATTCAATGTACACATTTGTGTGGAGAAGGTATTTAAAGTCATGAGACTTGCTGCGATCATCATGTCTGCAATAGGTGGAAGAGTGTCAGTGCAAAGAATACTTTCCTAGGCAATACTTACCTCTGATACAAATTTTGTTGTAGCATCACTTAAGGTTTTCAGCATGGGGGTTGCCTCAGCATAAAACAAAGACATTCGATTTGCCAATTCATTATTTACTTCATTTTCTCCTTCTGCCTGAATAAAAAAGTAAGAGTGCCTGATATTAGTTTACTAATTATTAAATATGAAAATATTTTAAAAGGACCAAGACAGAGTGCCTACCTCATTAATGTTTATTAAACTAATAAATACCTCTAAAAATTATATTTCAGACCCTCACATATGCAAAGTACTTATGTATTGTTTAAAAAAATTAAAAAAATTACAAATGATAGTAAGCAGTTTCTTTAGAAGATTAACCTCTAAAATATCTTAAATGATATTAAAAAATTAAATACAACCTTGTTGGACTTTCTACTACGTACAAGTAACTGTTCTAAATGCTATGGAGGATAGAGAGATAATTATGAAAGTATATCCTGTCCACCAGGCTAAAAGGCAATGACAGAAAAAGGAAGTAAGAAAAATACTGAGTTAGATTAAAAGAAACTAAGAAGGCCTCATAAAAGAGTTAGACTTTTATAATGATGATAGATGAGCAAGGTATTCCTAACCAGCAAAGAGAAAAGCATGCTTTCAAATGCCCTGGTGGAATAAATTTTAGCAAAATCAGTGTAACAGCAGGGCAACAACTAGCAAAAGATTTAAACTGGGGTCGGATTGTAGAGTGCCATAAATGCTAACATAAGTTCCTATTATTCTTCCAAATAGAATAGGGAACCACATAGAGTGTTGGAAGAACAGCAAGTCAATTCTTTAATGAAATTTAACTCATGACAGTAGGTGAACTGTATCAAAAGTAAGAAGTCTGCAGGTCAGAAATAAGTTATGCTGCTATAGAATGACCATATAAGATTGGGAAGTGGGAGCTCAATTGGGATAAAAGTGGCAGGAGATGAAAAGGAGGATGGGGAAGAAATCTGAAAGATATCTCACTTGGAAACTATTGGCTTTACCTATAACAACTGAGTGAGAAACAGTACAAAGATGTCTGTAATGTCCTTTGTCCTCTAGTCATGGCAAGGATGACTACAGTAAGATTGGGTGTTTTAATTTTATTAAAAAAGTCAACTTCACATTAGGAACTGGTCTATATAAAACCAAACTGATGCAAAAAAAAAAAAAAAAAAACAGATCCTTCATAGAAGAGAAATCATTACCTCCAAAGCAGGGCCTGTCTTACAGAGGTTATTTCATAAGTACCTTCCAATGAAAAAAATTAATGGCTCCATTGCAATTTTTTTTATTTTTATTTTTTTAAATCTCTTTCCTCCTCACATAATTATAGCATTTCTCTGCTAAATTACCTACCTGAGGTTAGGGTTGTTCTTTGAAATTTCTCTATTTTTTATACCAATGTAGATTCTCAAAATACAGAAAGCAGAAGATAATATTTTCTTCATGTCTAATGTTTTACTTATGGTATTAAACTCCTTAAGAAAAAAAGAGCACTAAGCAGCTTTAAAAAGGAGAACGGCAAGAGATTAACAGGCCTAAAGAAAACAGCAGAACCAGGAGCAGTGGCCCATTCCTATAATCCCAGCAATTTGGGAGGCTGAGGTAGGAGGATCCCAAGTTTGAGTCCAGCAAAACACTGCCTCAGAGCAAAATAATAACAACAGCTAGGGATGTAGCTCAGTGGTAAAGTGTCCCTGGGTTCAATCCCCTGTAATAGGAGGGAAAAAAAAAAAAAAAAAGGAAGAGAAATAGATGACAAGCTGCACCAGCCAAGGAACAGGCCCAGAAGCTGTTTTTCTTCAGTCATAATGAGGTGTAGATGTGCTAACAGTCCATGGCCTCACTCTTCTCTCTTGTCAACATCAGTTATTTCTCTTAGTACAGGTCAATTTCTCTCCAGGAGTCATCCACTCCAAGAATATGGGGACCAAAAAACCTCATATACTAATGTTAAAAGTTTCTGTACAGTTAAAATGAGAATACACAGAGAAAGTTATAGTATCAATATTATACAGACAAAAAGCAATTTTACTAAAGTAGTGGTGGGAGTTCAAAAGACTAAAAAGAAAAACAGGCAAAAACCACATAGTTTGCTACAATTTGCCCTCTCCTCCCACAGCTGTGGTTGTCCATAATCACTAACTTTAATACTTGCTGTATGAATGAATAAAAAGAATAAAATAAATAGACTGAGAAAAGAATTATTCTTACCAACCCCGTGATACAAAGCATTAACTTACTGGAACATTATTAATCCTCATCCGACTCAATGTTCTTCTATAGTAGCTGAAATCATTCTGTATGGCAGGATTTGTCATCTAAAGAAGACATTTATGAAAGAAAAAATATGTTATGAACCAGATACTTATGTAAAATTTAAGTGAAATAAAACCCTACTAAATATAGTTTTAACTAGCTATGTAAATGTTGTCTATTTTGTAATGTCATTTTAAGAACGAATCTGATATCACCCAGTAAGTCTTAAAAGACTGTACTCAGTCCTAACTGAACATACAGAAACCATACAGACTGTTTTTCAGTCATGGGCAGTAAGCATACCTTCCTTTCTTTTTACCCTAAAAGTGTATTTAAAAAAAATTAACATTACCAAAGAACAAAACCAAAAAGGAATACAGAGGCACTTGTTTTGGATAAAAGTATATATACATAGGCAACAGGGCAATAATCCTCAAGCAAACTAAAATTTACATACAAATCATTTGTGCGCAAAAGTATTAATAAAATAATTATAACCGTCTATAATACAACTGTAAATGTCCAAGTTCACAATCTAGCTCTTCCGTTTTCTAGACAAGGTGCCGAGGACGGAACCCAAGGTCTCATAACTGATTACTGTGCCAGAGCCTAAACTGAAGTCAGGTCTGATGTAAAACCCAGAACTTATTCCTCTACACTAACCCTTCTAACAATAGGATATTTACAGTTATAAATACTACAATTAGCTAGATCAAGAAAAGGAGTAAAGAAAAAAGTTGTGGGGGAGGGACAAAAGTTTTAACAACTTTATGTTAAAAGAATGGTGCAAAAAACTGGGGATGAGCAGAAAAGAAAAAACATTAGAAAAGAATATTCAGTATTATTATTTCAGTGATTTTAAAATATGAAGACTGAATATTAGATGATTTGCTCTTTATACCAAAAGACCTGCCATACTTTCAAATTCAGTTTTCCATTCATGCTAAAGTCTAGTTAGACATCATTTAACACATTTTATCAAGGATTCCAGGCTTTTCCTCCTAGTACTCATTGGAAAACATGATTTTAATATTGACCACGACAAGCAGAAAATTCTACCTTGAGTTCATCAAACCGGAGGGTGAAGTGAAGAATTTCTGCAAACTGTTTAGCAAGAGCCTGCTCTCGCTCTAGATGCTGGGTGGGAGAATATGGGGTACTGGTCAAGGCTCCCAGAAGGCCTCTTAATGCTGCTTCTAACAGAAAGATAAAAATGTTAAGGTTTTTGTATCTCTCTGATATTTGTTTATTAAAAAGTGAACAATTCATAAATGTTTTGATTTCAATTCCAAAAAAGGTCTCTAAAACACAAATGACCTACATATAATCAAAACAATGAAAGAACTTTAAATTTTGCCATTAGTCATATATTGCATATACTCAAATTGAATACTGTTTAACACAATGAAACTTAAAAGGGACTTACTCAATATATAAACCCAGGTTTCAAAATAACACAGAATGAGAATGTGAATAACATCAGGAATGAAGGGCAAATTTAAATTCTTTCACCATTCCACATAGTATAAAATTTGCTTTTATGAAACAGTTATTATTACCTCTAGCTGAGTAACCTGTTCAACAGCACTATGTCCACAATCAAATCTATGTGGCTATGACTTGATTACCAACTTCTTATACCTTGAAGAATACGCCACTTATTTATAAACACAATCTTCTTTCTTTTAGTTACTAGGAACAAAATACGGGGTTTAATAAGCTTCCTAGGTTATCTTTGGGCGTTGCATTTGGGACTGTAATATAAATATTCTAATTTGTTAAATAGCAAATTAGCTCCTTTGAAATAATTCCACCTTTGGAATGCAAGACCAATAAATACTATGTTTAAAAACGAAAAAAACATTATTTCACTTAAAAAAAAAAAAAAACCTCAAACTTAGTTATAAGGTTACAGAATCAGAAAACGATACTAGATAGAGTTTAGAGTTAAATGATGATATAACAACATTAATAAATGAATGGCAGATTAATAAATATTGATGATAAATTAATAGATTTATGTCAGATCAACCCTTAAGAAAGGACCGGCTCTACCATTTGTAAAGATCCCTACATTGCATTTTTTTTTTTATTAGAGAGAGAGAGAGAGAGAAAGAAAAAGAGAGAGAGAGAATTTTTTTAATATTTATTTTTCAGTTTTCGGTGGACACAACATCTTTATTTTTTTATGTGGTGCTGAGGATTGAACCCAGCGCATGCCAGGCGAGTGCGTTACCGCTTGAGCCACATCCCCAGCCCTGCATTTTTTAAAGTAGATACTCATTTAACTTTCACCATCAACTATGACCTAGGCATTATAGACATATAAACTGAGTCTGAAATAGGTTAGAGCACAAGGTGATATTTAGCAAATGCCAGGTGTTTCTAACTCCCAAGTCCAACTTAATAAACTCTCTTCCAAATAAAGCAACATTCTAGGTAGCCTTCAGTAACCTTATTTAAGATATGTATCTATTATGTGCCAGGTACTGAACTAGACATTTCACAGACATTATTTTCCATCTACACAATAGCTCCAAATAGCAGCTATTAACCTTTTTTAAGTCAGTCAGAAAACTTAACTGCTTCCTCTATGCCAAGCTCTGAGAACAGAGGAAGATATATGCCCACAGAGAGCCTTATTACATATAGACATGATTCCAGTTGTGACAAAAGCTAAAAAAGAGTGTGTGGTACAGGAAACAGTGGAAAAATATACAAATGGGCCTCACCTAGCTGAAGGCAGGAAAAGACTTCCTTGAATAAGTGACATCGGGGTTGAGATTGGAGTGCACATAAGAATGAGCAGGAGTTTGCAGATAGGGCAGGAAGACAGACCCTGAGCTGAGAAGAACACGACAGTCACAGAACTGTAAGAAGACCAATAAGGGTGGAATAGGGAGGGTAAAGAAGAGTGTAACCAAAGACCAAGACAATACATATACCAGGCATGTGCCGTGTCAGGCACTCTCTCCTTATAATTCCCATGTCCCTGGAGAAACCATTTAAACATGGTAGCGACATCATCAGATTAGTATTTAAAACCTCACTTCACCTGCAGTATGGAGACTGGATTGTAGGGTATTGACAGAGCTAATAGAGATCTAAGAGTTTATGTGAAAAAGACCAATTAAGAAGAACAAAATTTATTTTGAAAAAAACTGTTTACTTCTCCCCAAGATTCAATTCATGTGTCAGTGTTAATATAAGTGCAAAGTAAAGTTTGAAAAACGTAAGAATAGAAAGATATTATAAGAAACTATTATAGGATGCTACAGAGAAGAAGAAATTTGTATTTGCCTATATTTAATCAAGTCTCAAGGTTGTTTTTTGTGTATTTGTTTGCTTTTCTGTTTTTTTTTTTCTTTTTTTTTGGTACCACAGATCTGATACCAGGGTGCTCTGCCACTAAGCTATAACTCTATACCTTTTAATGTTTTAGTTTGGGACAGGGTTCCTATTAAGTTGCCCAGGCTATCCTCAAACTTGGAATCCTCCTGCCTTAACCTCTCAAATAGCTGGGACTGTAAGTGTGTGCCACCATGCCCAGCTAAATCTCAGGGTTAATAGCAGTATTCCACATGTTCTACTACTTTGGTGAGTGGAATCATGTGACTTAGTTCCAACGGCCAATGACCAATAGCTACAGAACTTTATCTCTATGAATGGCTGAAGTCCTCATAGGTGGAGCTACCAGAAGAGGGAAACTTAAGATGGTAAGGCTATTTTTCTGCCTTTAAAGCTGCTGGATGTATTCTCACCCTGCAGTCTGTGCTGGTACAAGACCTACAATTTCCTGCCTTAAAAATCTAAGACAGGGCAGGATTGTGGCTCAGCAGTAGAGCGCTCGCCTAGCACGGGCAAAGCCCTGGGTTCGATCCCCGATCCCCAGCACCACATAAAAATAAAAAAAGATATTTTGTTCAACTAAAAAAACACACAAAACAAAACTAAAACAACAAAGGACAAAGGACTCCACAGAAGGTGGCCCAGGTCTCTAGCTGAATTGGAAAGAAAGGATGGTCAAAAAAGAAGTGATTCAGGGATTAAACTCTAATGAAGCTCCTGAAACAAAACCATATGGTTAGAAATTTTAGGAAAAGCAGATGACAGAAGGAAATCACTGAGCTACTAAGCTCTGAATTCTGAAAGAAATAAAGGACAGCTTGTCTTAGAATGAGAGTCAAAGCTACAAAGTCAAGTCGGAAGAAAAAGACAACTAGGAGAAATAATGAAGACAAATCAGTTCACAGATTAGAACCAGAAGGGGGAAGATGAGATGGCAAAACAAAAAGGAGGTCTCTGCAGAGTTTTACTTTAGAGACAACAGCTATCTGTTCTCACCAAATGCCATACATCCATCCACAAACACTAGCCCTTGCATCCTCACATGACAACTCAAATGTGGACAGGGAGACTTTAAGACAGTAAGCAGACACAACCACAATTACTATGGGTACTATGAACTTTTTATGTAGATTTAAATAGATTTAGCCCAGTGACACAAACTCAACACGCTGGATGGATTTGCTCATTATGACTCAAGGGGCACTCCCCAAAATAAGCCCCTTGTGCAGAAGGAAGACCAAGGCAAGACGAAGTGATGTGCCTACTGTGTGATCACAGAACTTCTACCAGGTAGATGTCTCAAAAAGAATGGTTCCAAGGCCTCAGACCAAAGCAAGCAAGTATCAGAGTTCCCCAGGCCTGTTAGCAAAACTCAGTATCTTCTTAAAATGAACAAACAAAAAAAATCCCCTGTACCTTCCACATTAGTCAGGTGACACATGCCCTGCCTCTCTACATATAAATATATAAACCAGCAAGGATCAGGGTCCCTCTTCTGGAGTATAACCCCTGGTGACTATAATACTCAGTTCACACAAACATCTCCATAGGATCGAAAGATTCTGAAGGACCATGTGCGACTTGATATCCATGTGGTGTTCCATGTGCTGTTTGTGGAATTTATCTTCATTTCTGGCTCAACAGTACAGTAAGAGATGAAATGAGAAAGGATTAGGGGACATAATGGAAAGAACTGAATAAACAGGAGGTCCAGAGAGAATATTGAAACTCAGTGAAGTGCAGTGATGTGATCCAGACCACACAGCTATTAAGTGACAACATGGGCCATTATGTCTCCAAAGCCTAAAATTACTATTATGACTGCTTCTAAATACCTAATACATAGGCTGTATCAGGTGTGTTTATCTATCAATATATCACTTACTCATTTAACAAACAATAAATATCTATTGTGCGCAAGAGAGGAAATGCTTTCTGCCAGCTAGGAAACTAGAAAATATAATTAACCAGGTTTATTGATCAAAAGATGAGGGTACCATTAGATCCTAAATTAGTACTTTAGAGAAGTCCCTTGTGTACAATTATGAAGGTTCAGGGTTTCCAAATGTTAACAAGAAGATGGATAGCTATTTGCATTTACTTGTGCTACTACGTTCCTTAGCTGAAATGGAACAGTGCCACTAGACTGGTTATTTCTTATGGTTTAAATACAGGAAAACACTGAAGTCCAACTTGTTTGGCCTATACTTCAATTATTATTTTTTTAAATGACATATGATAAGAGGCCAAGATCACTTAAAGCACTTTAAAAACTTCACATGCACCTATGTATTAAGCACAGGAAAAGCTCTAAATACACAGAAAAAATAACTGAGATGAAAGGTCCCAAGCTGACAGAGGTACAAGGGTTTGCTAGACTATACAGATACTTGATTGAAAGGCAAATACTGTAAAAGAACTAATTTTTACACTTAGGACAATAAATCACAATTCCTATTTAGAGTAATAAAAAGAATTTACATAAACAACCACTCTCTTTACATTTAACAGTCTTCCTCAGGCCCATGAGTTATTCAAATTTTTGTGTTCTTAAAAATCATACAGGGAAGGACTGACTATAGAGTTGGAGACAAAGTCTTTCAAATAGTTTTCTCATACTAAAACCCTTTAGTATATAAAGAAATAAAAGCAATTTTCTTATGAAATTTTTCTTGTGATAATTTGTTCAGAAAATGATCTAAATAATTCAAAGACCTGGGTTGATAGGGATTATAAGCAGATCCCAGCCAAATTTAGTACTGTGAACATTAAATACTCTTAAATAATTTTGACCTTACAGATGTTTTTCACTAGGGAAGTAATAATTACAAACTTTCAACTTACCTAACCTCTGAGAAAATTCATAAAATTTCTTTAATTTTCCTACAAGTGGAACAACTGCACCCCATGCCTTCTCTTGCAACTTCTCATCTGCTGGATGTTGGATTGCCTTTAAAATCCAAAGAATAAAAATAGTTAGATTTTAAAAAATCGCAAGTATCATTTTTTACATTAAAATACAGGTTTTAGAGAATGTAGAAAACCCTGATACAATTTATAAAATTTAGAATAATGCACCCACTAACGCTGGGAGTGGACCTTGTCATCTCCGTGAATACTTCAACTCTATTACAAAACATTTTCGTTTTCTTGAAACGGATATAATGGAATTAAAAAATTGAACATGTGTTTGTGAACCAAAAAAAGTAAGGCAGTAAATGAAGATGCCATCTCTGGGAATAGACTACGAAATAATAATTCAAATTCCATGGACTGAGCCAGCTCTAAGAAACCTAGCAAGTATTTACGAACCTAAATCAACCTCAAAAATGTGATTTAAAAGTTGTCATAGATACTCATTCCCTATAACTACAATCTATATTAGACTTCAAGTTTTCTTAGATTCTTCTGAATAAGACAACAAATAAAACTAGTTTCAAATTTAAAAAGGGAGAAAATAACATAATCTATATATCCTTAATATAAAAAAACAAATGTCTCTTTCAATATCCAACCTTTCAAGCGATTGGACAATCTTTTCTGAGTATTGAGGGTTATCCACAAATATATTTTCTTGCTTTTATCTTTCAGATGCTTTCTTCATCCTTCAGAACTTAAAGCTTTGTCTACGATCTCCAACCAACTAACACACCACGTGAAAGATGAAATTTACAACCAAGGCCTGCTTATGAACATGATCAGAGGTACTCAATGACACATTTCACATTTTCCAAAGCACTAGTACTCTGAGAGACTGTCTAAACAAAAACAAAAATCAAGAAAGCAAACTAAACCAGATAGATTTAAAGCATGCTGTGAATAAACTAGCTACAAATCAAATGGACTGTATACTGCTTAAGTTATTTATATGTGTCAGTAATTTCAGATTTTCTTGATATTTTCAATAAAAAATTTTTGAATGCTGCTTAAATTCAACAGCAGCCTAGAGCCTGTTCTATATGTTTATCTAGAAATTTCATAATATTAAAGAAAATCTGACACAACATATAACAATCCTAGTTTCACATATTAATCTGAACACTTCAAAAAGTTTTTGATATTATACTGATATAAATGGAAAAAAATCCTTTTAGGCTCAAGCTCAGACTCAGTAACATTTTATATCAAATAATATAAATGTTTATTATTCAGGAAGTAATCAAACAGATGAAAATTAAAATTTCCTTTTCTGAAGAAGCCCATTCAATGTTTCTTCCAAGAATCTACAAGTTATTTGCTAAATATAAATTCATTCTCAAAATACCAAAAATGTCCAGCAAATGTCATTCATGTTCATAAGTGAAAAGGGCTCACAATTTCCGTGGTGCCCCTGGCCTGAATTTCGTTGAAAGAGCACATGGGTGCTCTTTTATGACAAACATTTTTTTTAAAAAAATATTTATTTATTTTAGTTGTAGTTGGACACAATACTTTTATTTAATTTATTTATTTTTATGTGGTGCTGAGAATCAAACCCAGGGCCTCATACACACTGGGTGAATGCTCTACCGCTGAGCCACAATCCAGCCCAATGACCAACATTTTATGGGTCTCCTTCAACTTCCAGTCCTCCTCTACTCAAATGAGTTTCACTGCTGGCAGGTAAGGTTTCAGGTCAACACATATGGAAAGCTTAGCATACAAAAGGGCACTTATATGTGTCAGTGGCAAGATTATCCTGTAGCAGCAGGTATTTTTCAAAAATGTTAAAACTGTTAAGGACACTTCTCAACATTAGTAGAAAGTACTTATTTTCCTTGACAGTAGTATATCCCATAAAATAAGGCTCTGATTATTAGTTTCTAACTTATATCACATTTTATTTTAAATCATGTTTAACAAAGTGTTGTTTAAAACAAATATAATTCTACATCATTAGCATACAACTAATAGGAAAGTCCCAGTTTATGTTAGGTTTGTGTCAGGCATGGTGTTACATTGTTTACACAAATTATTTATTTTTTTACTTGCAACTCAAGGAGTTGCTTCTATATTTTTGTTACAGCGAGTAAGGGCACCAGAAAGGCTTTGTTCGTATTTTCTTTTGAATTATAGTTGCTTGGAATATATTTTCCCAAAATCCCCTGGCACAAGAGTACAAACAATTTTAAAGTTCTTATTTTATACATTGCCAACCTGACCTCCAAAAAGACTACCACCATTCGACACTATCACTTGCACTGAGATTATTTTTTCTTTATAAAACAACTAAAACTTCTTGACAGTACTGTCTACTTATTAGCATGGCTTAACATTCTTCCTATTGTCTAAGCTTTTTCATGGGTCATATGGTTCAATGCTCTATTGAGTCTTATTAATTAATCAGCAATATTAAATCTTAATATTCAACTAGGACTATTATAATTATTAGTTCTCTATATGTTGGACATACACTGAACTTTCACTAGAGCCTTCTTTCTTAATTTGTTTATCTACTATTCAAAAACCTTTTTAATTTGTATCATTAAACCTTCATTCACATCACCATACATTTCTCAATGAAAATTTCTTCAACTATCTGAGTAGTTTACACGTTTGTCCCCATCTACAGATTTAAATGCAGTTTTTTTTTAGTTTTGTATCTTCCATATTACATATCTATATTCACCTATTTCTTTGTTCTTAATTCTTTTACCAAACTGGTGGTACCTTTATAAGTCTTAAAGCTGGGAAAGGTCAATCTCTTACCACTACTTTTAATTTTTTCCTTATACTTTGGTATTCTTCAGTGTTTTTAAGTATATAAACTTGGGGGGAAAAAAGCCCTTAGGACACTTAGGTACTTCTCCCTATCACCAATCATGGCATAGTATGAGTGAACTACATGTGGTTAAACTGTATCTCCTCAGGAAAATAGCACCACTGCATGGATCTGGCATCCTAGGGGAACTTCATCCTTTGGTCACAGGGTTAAGAGCTCCTGGTTTCATAGCCCTAAAGCCCTCTTTGAAATGTCCTATATATAAGCTTTCCTATCATTATATTCTCTGGTAGAAGATTACAACTAAATCTTAATATGCATTCAATTCTATATACAAACTGAAGGAAATACTATTTTTCATTATAAAGAATCTTTCTAAATATAGCAGAACAATCCTTCTAATGGAAAGTATTACAGCAACAACAATAATGATAATAGTGAAGAACAACAGCATTCTACCTTTGGGGGAAAAAAAGCAAATAGATAACAAATGGTCTTTGTCTCCATTATGGATGAGATTTTTTTCTTTATTGTTTATGGGAGACACATGACAAGAATTCAATTATAAAACAAACTTGAATCAACATGAAGACACTATCTATCATTTATATTATATTACATTATATTATATTAATATTATGGTGCTGGGAATCGAACCCAGGCACCATGCATGTCTCTACCACTGAGCCACATTTGTAGCACTATTAATCATGTTAGAACAACTTGTGGACTGGTAAGACTTACAGGAAAAGAACGATTTTACTAACTAATTAGTTGTTTATGATTTACTTAACATTTAAATCTTTCCTTTCCATACATGTTTGATTTTTCAAAATGTTTAAATGTTTAGAGAACTTGGTTCACAGCAGCAGCTACATGCCTTTGTTTACTGAAATCTTAAGGTTTTAAGCTAATAATATTGCTAAGATTATTCTAAGGCTATATATTTATTTCTTTAGCAGTTAACAGCTTTTAATAAACATTATGCCAGGTGCTGATAATATCCAAATATGCAAGAAACCAGGTTCACTCTCCTCAAACTGGGGGGCATAATGGTAGAGAAATAAATACCAGTACCAATGGTTTTACAAAGGATATTGTTTATCAAAAAAGAAATGTGTGTGCAGTGTTAGGCAAAGGGGTAACAGGAAGTAGAAGACTGGAAGGAAGGATAGGAATTCAACAGGAAAATAAAAGAAGGGCAACCCAGACAAAAACAAGGAAGTATGCATGTGCAAGACAGCAGGGCACAAGCAATCCAGTGCAGGAGAGGCAAGAAATGGAAGCTAACCACACCAAAGCCATGGAAGCAATTCTCCCTCTTCCCTTACATTAAATATCCAATACCACAGTATCTCTTGAACTGTCATCTTCTAGAGTCTGCACTTTACTCTGCGTTCACCAGTAGTCCAAGTGCCAGAAGAGAAATCAAGTAAGATAGGAACTGTAAGATCAAAAGAATGGTCTTTGATGACCTCTGCACTCATTGTCACTGAAAATAACAGAAGCAGAAAGTGGGGAAAATGAAAAACAAACAGTGGGCCATGCCTTAGAATATGGTAATGAAAAAAAAATGAGATTCAGGTCCAGAGGCTAGAGAATTTCTCTATGTCTTTAGGACAACTGAGTAAGTACATGCTGAGGGAAAGAAGTCAGAAAAAGAAAAGGAAAGAGGAAGATGAAGAATAAGAATTAAAGAATAATTTGAAAAGTAGTTCCAGGAAAGTATGGAGAATAAAGGTAAAGAGGTAGGGAACCAGCATTTCTGAAAAGTAGAAGAAATTAAAAAGGACAGGGCTAGAAGCCTGGTTAAGTTCAGAGAATGGGCAGGAAAGCTTTTGAAATAGAGCACCCCACACACCTTCCTTGTGGTGCAGTCATGGGAAAGGAGGGCAGTGGAGAGGGAAGTGGAGGTGAAGAGACCACACCCTGGTTGATTTCAATATTCTCCTAAACAGCTAGGAGTAAGAAAAAAATACTGGCAGAATGAAGCCACAGAAAAGTCATGTTCTCCCCACTGCCCAGAAAAAGAAAAACATACACAGTTCCCCATGGAAATGGAAATTTCAAATGCAAGAGCAACCAAAACAATGAAGCTTCCTTAAAAACAAATAAATTACACATTTGTCAACACTGTTTTCATCCTTGTATCACTGCAAACACTTCCAAAATAATGCCCAATGTTCTTTCTTTATATGTACTATTTCACATGAAATGAAGAATTAGATAACATTAAAAAGAGGTGAGACATAGCTAATTTTAGTTTACCTAGAAAGCACATAAACACATTTTACCTCTCGTATTTCATGGCCTGCTCCTCTGTATGACTGCAAGTCCTCCAAGATGCCTTCTGCATCTTTTAATACTACATTCACCTGATTATAAATTTCCTTCTCAGATTCTGTAGGCTGGGCATCTAAATAGCAGGAAAGCACAAAAAAATTTACAGTGACATGAATTTTTTTAATACATGTAAACTCTAAGCAATTAACGCAAATTTTCAAAGATATGTTACATTTATTCAATGTTAACTTTGCACTTAGAAAAGATTAATAATTTTTCCACAGTTATACATTTGAATAACTAGCCTCACATTTATAAAAATTACAGAGATTTAAGGGAGCACCAAACATTACTATTTAGGTTACAAATTATGACTTGGTAAATTATTAAAAAATTAAAATTAAAAATGTAAACTCTGATATTCTTTATAATCTCTTTTTCTACTACATTGATCACTGTCACTCACTAGTGACTGTAGATGCATCAATAATTATTTATTTTAATGCAACAGAAATGAAAGCCTACTAAAATATCTCGCTAATCTACAGTTTAAGACTAACACTACTTTATTTTCCTTTAAAGTTCACTTTAACAACTGAGTTTTGATAAGAAAAAGTAAAAACTTCAAAAAATAGTTTTTAGATACTCTTTTCTAGGGACCATTTTGAATTGTCTTGACAAATAAGATCACATAGGGCAGGGTATACATATTTAAGAATAAACTAAGGCATTGAACTTCACTGCTGATTAACAGAAGGCCAAGATTTCTGCACAGAGGAAGTTCAAATTACAAAACTGTTACAGAATTCCTGAGTTGGTGAAAGCAAGATACTTTAAGCTAAACTACAAGACTATCAATGAAAAATTTAAATACTACAGCAAATACGGAGTTTCTATACACTTGGTACTGAGGGAAAAAAACAGTTATAAAAACATAATCAGGGACAACATATGGGCATTTTCACCACCTGTGGTGTTAGCCAGAAAACATATGCTAATGGTGATGAAATCTGGATTTCTCTCTGCTAGACTTGAGATAACAGAAACCCTGTTTTAAAAAACTTGGTCACCTGTTTCTCTAAAGCCAAACCTTTTTAACACATTTGTTTCTTTTTCTTTCTTCCTTTCTTTTTAAGGAAAAAGGGGGACTCCACAAGGACACATTTCTTCATAAATCTTTCCAACTAGACCACACTTGACATTGAAGGTAAGGCATAAAGCACTTAAAATGATAAACATTATGATTACCATAATGTTTTAGAGGAAAATTATGCTGGCAGGATTCCTCCACGCTAAAATAGGAGCGAAGGGAGGCAGTCCAAATTTATAAGATGAATTAAGAACACTTCTGATAAATCTCTTTGTCATATAAAACCAGTACCTAGACTGTCTATAACCACTTCACCTCCCCACACATACAAAATGATCTATTTACTCCTTTACTTAAAAAATTTAAAAGAAACTTAATTCACACATGAAACTAGGAATAAAGATGCTTTCAAATTACAACTTTATTTTGTGCTAGGGGCAAGTCATAATTCCAAATATCAAACCTGCCAACTAATCGAAAATGTACAACATATAATTTGAAAAAAATCAACAATTGCAGTACCAAATTTTAAATTTAACATATGTAAAACAGTACTACAACAATTAAATAACACTAATATGCAAAGCCAATTTATAAAATTTGTGTTTATATATCTGTTCCCTTATTTTTCAAATTTCTTTTCAAAACTTTGTAAAAAAAATAAAAATGCTATGACAAAGTAATTAATTACACAGAAGAAGCCAATTAAAACACTAAAGACTCTGTCCAAATCTACAAAGGCATCACTAGATTTTTAAAAATCAGGATTTGTCATTATAGCAGTAAATTTTTATAACATTTAGCCAGACCATCATTTTCAAAAGTCGTAATTAGACACAAAACTGAAAAGAAGGCACACCCATAACTTTAATACTTACACAAGAGGCAGCAGAGGAAAATACTTTTTACATGCAAAAATGACAGTTTTATACTTTTTCATTATGGAATTGTGGAACTACAGACATAACATCAATAATAAACACATATTATAGTTTGAATTCATGAAGTGGGAATTCATGACAAAGGACAATATTTTATCTATTATACATCTAAAGCAATTGTGAAGTTTGAAAACACTAAACTGTATTTCTGGTGTGGTGACTAGTTGTTAACACAAAAATATGACACTGAGACACACAGACGAAACATTTTCAAGTAGAATTAAATAGACCTTGTAAGTAGTTAATACTAGTAAAGGTTTAATAAGTACAAAGAAATTTAAAAATAAAGGAGAAGATTCAAGTTTCCCCTAAGGCTGGGGAAAACACCCAGCACCACACTGGTTAAACATTTGTTAGACTGTCACGGAAAGTCACGTTTATAATTTTGAAAGCTGCTGAAGACTGCTGTAGAAATGAAGACAAACAGAAAACAGCAGACAGGTACGCGCTACTTTACTGGAAGCAAGTCATGCAAAGGAGTGAAATACTAGGGAGGGAAAAGATTGTATAAAACAAAGCATTTTTTCAAAAAATGGCCTTATATAATATGCAACCAAGACTTGTCACTTTGATTTTTCATAGCAAAGAATGGCTTTACTATTTCAAGAAAAATGTACAGTCTGATAACAAAAGAACACTTATCTGATTGCAAAATAATGTACCTACTACTGAGAGTAGACAAACTGATTGTTTGAAGATAAAAATGAATTATTTTAATAATTTCACACCTGTTTCCTTAGGGTAACAGAAGATGATTCACTAACATATTTGCTAAAATTGAAGATATTATATTTAAAAAGGAATGGCAAAATAGCTATGAAAGGAAAAAAATAAAAAAGCAAATCAACATAAAAATTATAATAAAGTCTTTCTGCTTTAATCTGACATTATATTCATTCACTCATAAATATTTCAATCCATCTCTATAAGCTTCATTAAGTCAGGGATCAAAATGTACATCCCAGGGACTGGAGTGTAGTTCGGTGGTACAGTGCTCATCTCTTATGTGTGAGCACTGGGTTTGATCCTCCACACCACACACAAATAAAGAAATAAAATGAAGGTTTTGTGTCCATCTACAACTAAAAAATTATATGTATATTTAAAAAGTACATTATACAGGCTAGGGTTGTGTGGCTCAGTGGTAGAGCGCTTGGGGCACTGGGTTCTATCCTCAGCACCAAATAAAAAATGAATAAGTAAAGGCACTGTGTCCATCTACAACTAAAAAAGAAAGTAAAAAAAAAAATTAAAAAGTACATTCCATACCACTGGTAAAGTATATAAATCAATACCTAAATTTCCCATAATATTACTTGAATAAATGAGAAGGGTCAATAAATAATCCTCCAACATGAATTAAAGGAGGCTATTATGCATTTTTTTCTCTGAACATATAACCCTACATAATTTTATAAAAAGAAAATTTTAAATGCCACTAGAATAAATAAACTTCCAAGTATAGGATCAAAGCAATTGAAAATGTATGTGAGAAAATGGAAAAAAAATAAAGTTAGACTAAAGAGTGGATACCTACATTTTTAAATGATGGTGGGAAACAAGCAACACAAAAAGACATTGGAGGAAATGTACAAGTCAATGGGAAGGCACTGTTAAAACAAAGAATCAGAGAAAGGGTACTCTAGTTCTCATTTATGAATGACCACTTCCTATTCTGATCTACCTGGATATAAATTTAACAAATATAAAAACTTCTATTACATACAAAGTACTCTGCTAAGGTTAAGAAGGGACACAAAAACAGTAAGTGTCCCACTTCTTCCAAGTTATGCAAGCTAAAGATGTGTCATTAGAATGAGCAATAAATTAATGATGTTATAAAATAGTAGGAAATTCCAAGAATGAGAAGAGACTTTATGGGCTCCCATTCAGTGTTTTTCACATACTTTTATCAGCATAACTGCTATCAAATTTTATGGAGCGATACTGGGATTATATTTTAACTGCCACTATGAAATAAAATAAAAATGAAATTTTATCATATAGATGTAATTTGTCTTAAGGAAAAAAACTCCCCCTGCCCAAAGAGCATGTTTTAATAAACACAGAATGACTTATCATGCCTTAAGGACTTTGTAAGTTGCTGCTTCTTTCTACAATGTCTTTCACTAAAATGGCTTTTTTCACCTTCTAAATAAAATCCAATTCAAACACCACCATAAGATAAGTTTTCCACGGTGATGTCCAATCTACACTTTGCTAAGTTGATACCTTCTGATATATGCCTTGAATGTAAGTTATGGAAGTAAACTATGAGTTTACTTTTCTGTCTATGCTGTGCTATCAGACTGAGAACTCCCTGAATGTTGTTACCTTTGCATCCCCAGCACCTTCTGGCTGGTATACAAGAGAAAGTATGCATATATTAAACTGAAGTAGAAAAACGGTATGGAAAGGGGACAGTTAATAAAGACTTATTTAAAGAAGGTCTTCATTTTGTAAACTCTTAAGATTTCATTAAATCATATTTTAAATGCACTAGAATACTTAATTTGTATACCAAAATTTGCATGTAAATTAGTACATAAAAAGCTAGATTTATCTACATGGAATTATTTCTATATTGCTTAACTATGGAGGTATACTGAGCAAGATTTAACCAATTAGAATAATGGAACTGGTGGCCTGAATATTACTACATCTCTAGAAATAAGCAATGTAGTATTATTAACTACTCCATTTAATAAAAAAATGTGGCTTTAGAAATTCTAAGTAATAATTAGGAACAGGTAAATTAACTGTTTGGGCAATTTTTAATGTGGTAAAAAAAATTTGAGAGGTCCCTTTGATGGACCAAGGCTCCTATGTAGTCTAAAGATAAGGCAATGTTTCACACATGCATATTTCCAAATGAAGAAACATACACAAAAAGATGAGAGAAAAAAGAAAACACCAAAGTTAGAATCAAAGGAAAACATATTTAAAAATATAAAGTAACAACAAGTGAACTCTGTTCTGGTATAATAGTATGTTTTCAGTAGATTTCACTTATAGTATAGTACACCAGGAAGCGTCAAAATAAAAGTTCTACATTGGCAGATGGGGGGCAACAGGTATCATTTTTTAAATTTATCTGCCTTTAAAAAATTAATACTTTCGATGTAATTCTAAATTATTAGATATTACTGTTGTTAGCAATTTTAACCTTTGCCTGCTACTAAGTTTGCCATTTAAAATTTTATGTTAATGACCCAATCCCCTTAAGACTGGAAAAGTCAAGACAAATCATCTTTTAAATACTACATTTAACTTCATGCTTCCCACTGGACCACAACATAATGATAGATTTATAAAAAGATCAAGTGCCAAGTCTTGAACAAGATCTTGACTATATCAAAGCCAAGATTCTGCAAATGTAAAAAATTTGGGACAAAGAGGAAAAAGGAGAAAGAGAGGAGCAGAAAAATAGACAAGACCAAGTTTGAAACAGATGCAAATAAACTAAAATACAGCTTTCATGTAAGTTGCCTCCTCTGAAAGAATAATCTTAAAAGTCAGCAATTTGCTCAACATCCCCAAGCTGATTAAAAGTCATGCTAAACATGCACTTAAAATAGCATTGTTAAATTGTTGAGAAGGGTCAAGAAAATTAATATATCTAATAACATTTTCCCCTTCAAAAAAAAAAAAAAAACCCAACAATTTAATATGGTCCTGATATTGACATTACTTCTCTTTACTAGCCTGCACAGTACACAAAGTGTAACAGATCATTTATAGGAATGTAGTAAATGTTGAAAATATCAGTGACCACAAATATTCTATAAAATGGAGATATGCTATAAATTGATGTGTTCATGTAACAAGTGCCCTGGCTCAAAGGGAAAAAAGTATAAATGATTTATAACATAGAATAAACTATATAAAAACTAAACAGAAGTTGGTAGTAAAGACAATGTCTTTTTTTTTGGGTTCATTTTAAGGATTTATTTTATTTTTAAAAGAAAAAGTCTTAAATTTTAGGAATCTATTCAAATGTTTTAATCTCAGATAAAGTATAAGGAATCATGAGATTTAACCTAAATGCTATCTCTTCACCCTTTCCTAACAATTTTCTAATGATCAGTTAAAACAGCAACATTCACGCTAAAAGACCAATTTAATATCATTTTTCTCAATTTGACAACCAGACAAGCTAAAGCGATACCATCAGCCAAAAAAGCAAAAGCTTTGCACACATGCACAGAGGTCAATGACACTTACCTGCCACTCTTAGACCATATTACAATAGGTCATGCAACATAAAACAAACAGAAGGCAAATTACTTAAAGGTCTGTGAACCTATTATTTTTCTTTTTATTTAGAGTTAGAAAAATGAGTTCCTGAAATAAATACATAAAATTAAGTTTTTAACTTTTCAAATTATCTGCAAAGATTAAATAATTTAGGTTCACACTTACCTTTTAATATTATGCCCAAATACTGAGCTCTGAATGGCCTTCATGAACAGATTTCATATTTAAAATAGTTTAACATACACAGAGTAATTGAAACCTAGTCAATTTTCAACTGTAATACAATTTTCCCCCAAAGACTGCTTGTATTAATAAATCTTGAGGTAGTATTTTTCTTTTCCACCAAAATTTTTTTCATAAAAATGTTTCATTAAGAGTATATCTCAAAATATAAAATAATCTCCAACTAAGAAATATGAAATGTCTTATAAAAATTCAAATAAAGACATTTTTCTCATCAGAATTTAATCTATATAAAATCTAACTTCCAGTTCTAGAAGGCACCAGAAATTTTACTCAAACAATTCACAGCTCAGTCATGCAAAGCAGTTAAAAAGATGGCGAAGTGGAAACATTCATTAAGTGCAAGACAAACGCAGTCTACTGCAGGCAAAGAGAAATAGATATAAAATCATCTTCTCACTTTCAAAATCAAGGAAAAAATTTGGCCCCTGCTCAAGGTCTGTGCATGTCAAAACTTTAAGAAGATTCCCCATGTTAAGGTACCTGTCAAGACAAGAATGAGAAAAGAGAAAATATCCCTTTATAAAAAAGAACATCTGAAATTTATTTAAAAAAAAAAAAAAAAAGGTAACAGGGAAAATGTTCATTAGGCCATGAATTCATCCTTCAGGTTACCCAGACTGTGCTCTGGCAGACAGCAAACCGGGTTCTCAAGGTGTTGGTATGGAAGACCTAGAGGTGAAATGTGGTTTTTCCTGTACACAATGACACAACTGTTGCTCTAATTCTTCTTAAAATTCTCCCAAGACAAGTTTCATTATTGGCCTTATAATGAAAAATTCTTTAAGTATTCCAATAGTGCTAGTATTCTGAAAAAGAAATTCTGATCAAGAATTACTCACATGTAATTTTGTTAGTATAGCACTGAAACAACAATATATTTCAAAGCCAAATATTAAGAGGTTTGGCTTTCAAAGCTCACCTTTGACTCTCATCCTAAAATAGCAGAATATAAAACTTACTTCCTATATGCCATTAAGTACAGCATATATTTTCAATCAAATTTGAATCATTAATAATTTGTGAAGGTTATTCAAAGCATTGATTCCAAATATGCAGCACAATTCTTATTTTTTAAAGAAAATTATTATAGGATTATAAGCAAACAGAGTGTTTGGCATAGTCACTAAAGCATACTATTAGAATGTTCATCATAAGGCTACTTGCTTCATGGACTAATGAAAGGACAGCACTGGCTACAGACTCAACATGATTTTAGCAAATGAAGAACTAAAGAATTATACGTATGATGGTGATGTTTGCCTACAATTAAGAAAAAAAATCATGCAAACTTGGTTTGATCCCCCATGTTTAATTAACAAATATTCTGGCTGGCCTTCACTGTGGTGTGAATATAATTAATCGTTCACCTTTACCATTATGCACCAGCTGTGAAGGGCTAAAGAGACTTACTTTCAAAGTCCAAGAAAAAATGTGCTGCATTGTGGTCTATGTCCCTGGTTAGCACCTTAATGAGATTACCCATGCCAGCAAACCTAAAAATAAAAATGGCAACATCATTTAGTTCCAGTAAAAAAAATTTTTAAGCAGAGGCCTGGGATTCGGCAAAGGCTGGCTTGTTCATAATTACCAACAGGTGCAGGGTTATATGCTTCTGGCATTGAAAATTTGGAACAACAAAAGCACATTTGTCTAAGTTTATAGATCCTGTCCTTTTCCACATGTCAAAAGTGTTACATAAAGCAAAGTGGGAAAAAAGGATTATATTTTTACATATAACTTGCAATATTTCCATTTGATTAATATCTGTGTTAATGTTGATCCTTTAAAATTTTTGAGGTATATATTTTAAATTTAAATTAACAGCAAAACTAAATTTTTCAAATAAGTAAACATTGAGACCATTATTTTTAAATTAGTGCAATATTTTTCTTCTTGCTGAATTAAATCTTATTGGGAAAACAGAGAAGATAGTATTTAACCACATTTAAACATTACACTGAAGGAAGTTACCAATTAATGACCCTTTTTTTTTTTACATGACCCATTTTTAAAAATCACCAAACCAACTCCAACATTTCTTACATCTTCTAAGATTAATCAACTTCTATTATTTAAGTCTTAAATTAAATATTCAACTATATACAACCATACATAAAACTCAAAAGCTAATACAGCAAATAAGCACATAAGGAGTGAGCGATTATCACAACTTGGTAAATTTGCAGAGCAAAACAAAATAAAAAGAAGGCACTGGCATAAATCTTGTCCAAGTATTTGCCATAATTCAGTGAGAATGAAGGTGGAAAGTACTGTCAGAACACTTGGGAAACCAGGTTCAAACCTGGAAACTGGAGTAAAAAAGGGGAAGGCAAACTGTGACATCAGAGCTACTCACACCCTACTTCCCCCATCAACTACAGAGCTTTTTCTCCAAAAACTAAGCTGCAGGCAGATGTAAATGAAACAAAAACCATAATATTTTTCTTAATGAAAGAAGACACCTTATCACACCCATTGTAGGAAGTGTGAAAAGGACAAACATTTATGATCACCTGCTCTCTGTTCCCCCTTCCTCCACCTAGTTCCCAACAATGGTTATGTTCCTTATGGTCAGTTTCCCAGAGGAGATAAATTCACGTGTGAAAGTCAGGTAGACAAAACATACATTTCTCATAAAATGTTATATAAGAACCAAATTTATTTGCAAGGAAGATAAATACTGAATGGTATCTCTATTTTCAAATGATATTCCTCCAAAATTTATCTTATTTACATTAATATTTCTATTACATAGAATTTCAATGTTCTTATATGTTTTACATGAGTGAATTAGGTGAGATGAAATAGATTCACTGAGAAAACATTTCCTTAATAACTATCTTACACGTAAAAAGTTTAATAATACAAGCCTTTATATTTAAGGAAAAGCACTTTTCATAAATCATCACATCCAAATTACCTCAAATTAGTTACTATATTTATTCAATAAGTTTTTGAAAGAATCATTTGAAAATATTTTTCACAGCTTTAATTTTTTCAAATATATATGGATTATGTTTCCAAATATATGAATCTCTCATTAACAAGAACTGATATTAGAGACACAAAAAACTATCTAGTGTATCAAAACTGCAACCAAAGGTGCAAAACAAGTCATGAAAATGAACCATAATTGTTTTCAACACAAAAAAGGCAATAGACTATCCAGTGCTAAGAGTTCCATCTATGTAATCAAACCATAATCCTAACTCTAGTTTACTACCTGTTTGAATTTAAGAACAGTAATTAACTTCTGGGATTCATTACTAATACAACAAAGACAACTATAGTACCAGTCTTAAAGGGTTATTACAAAGGTTTAAAGATTTAAGCACTGACTCTGCAATATCCAGCATACAGAAAGCACTTAAAAAATGGTGGCTGTTTTTATACCTATAATCCCAATATCAGTTCTTAAAAAGAACAAAGGTTATAATTCTTTTGACACACAAGTCTTCAATTTATCAAATAATTTCAATTTCCTAAATCAGAGTAAAACTCTCTTTAGCCCATTTTGGTCAAGAATACTGCTGAAATGCTATCAAAATTAGTCCTCTGTAGGAGATCAGCATCAATATGTGAGTTGGGGCATAGGGGAAAGGTTTGGTTTCTTTACCATTTTACCTATGTGCACACAATCCACCCGTAGAGAAAATACTGGAACTAGCCAACATGTCTGCCCCATTTTCCTGTGGCCCTTCTGCAACTTATTGCACTATTTGGTTCTCCTTTCCAGGCACCCAGTCTAATGTGGTCTATGTTTCTCACCACTGCATGATACTTGATATTTGATGCTAAACGTCCTCAATGATTTAGAATTCTTTTTCCCCATATACAGACACTGATCGTGAAAATTGACTCAGTTTATCTGGCAAAGTGTTTCTCATTGCACCATTAACATTTGGAGCTGGAAAATTCTTTTATCGTAGGGTTTGTTTCACAATGGAGGATACTCAGCAGCATCCTGAACCTCAATCCACTAGAAACCAGAATCAACTCCCCAGCATATGTTATTATAATAACCAAAAATGTCTTTGTCAAATGCCCCTGTTGCCCAATGAAGAAACTCTTCCTATCCTATAGCATACAGAACATAAACTTTTTATGTAGGAAACCATACCATATATCTTTCTTAACAAAAACTCGTGGAATTTTTCAAAAATCTGAAAAATTGTTCCATTATAACATTACTAGTTCTCCTGTCTTTTACAAAGATAAACAAAAAAATTTAAACCATACCTGTTTGCCTTATTTTAATATGAAAAAAACCCCACCTCAATGTGACTGAATTATATATAGCTCCTAACTATCAGCTCTAGTAGGGATGCAAGATTACCTGGGTTTAAAACCCTGTCACTTCCAACCTTGGTGACCTTAGTTCAATCTCTTAACCTCTCCATACCTCCACTTTGTCATCTGTAAAACATACATTATTAAAATTAACTGCAAGACTGGGGTTGTGGCTCAGCAGTAGAGCGCTTGCCTAGCATGTGCGAGGGCCTGGGTTCGATCCTCAGCACCACATAAAAATAAATAAAATAAAGGTATTGTGTTCAACTATAATTAAAAAAATATAAAAAAATAATAATGATATTCAATGCAGAGGGTCCCTAAAATCATTAAAGGGAAAACACAATCAAAACATTTAGTACCATGCCTGGCAGATTACTTGCTGCCATTACTGCTGCAGTGTGGAGCGACATAACTACGAATCATTCTAGTAGCAAAGCCTGAGGAATGTGAGGCCTGGGAACATGTGGCAGCCTACTTCCTGCCATAGAGGACGCCAGGCTGTCAGAGAAAAAGGAAGTCAACATGCAGGACAGAATTGCAGAAAGTGTCCCGCAGTCACTAATTTCTCAGACTGCCTGATTTTCTTCTCGTTTAAAGATACCTTAATCACTATCCCTTTTACTTGTTGAGCTGGATTTCTGCCAACTGCATCTAAGAAGAATTTTCACTAATGAGATTTCTAAGTTTCAGATAAATGGATAAATCTGATCTAAAAGGATTTTTTAAATAGCTTATGTAAAACTAGATCCAAAATATGGCTGGGATATTTTGGAGGCTATAAATAATAAATATTATTATTCAGAAAATAATAATAAGCTGTAAGTAAGACTTACTTACATCTAAATTTAGTAGAAAATTACTAAATTTAGTAATTTAATAAATCTTACTATCTAAATTTAGTAGAAAATTCTTTTAGATCATATTTTATTATAATTCTTGAATTTCAACTAAACACTATGTTTATTAAATAAGCTAAGAAAAAAACAATATAAATTTAATAAAAGAAAGCCAGACTTGGCTTATTTCAAGAGTTTGTAATATTTATGGTGGAATTTTGTGACCATGAATGAACTCTTATGTTACAGGCTTGTTTCCAAGTGGACAACTCATCTGGAAAAGAGCAAGCTCCTCCTGGCAGGTACTCTGCGGAATGTATTTTTAAGCTAACATTAAACCATTTCCCCCGT